GCCGAGCATGCATGAGGCACCATGTTTGATCCCGGCACCAAAATAAATAAATAATAAAAATAAAGGTATGTGTCCACCTACAACTAAATACACACACACACACACACACACACACACACACAGTTTTTTTTTTTTTTTTAAAGAGAGAGTGAGAGAGAGAGGGGGACAGAGAGAGAGAATTTTAACATTTATTTATTTTTTCTTAGTTCTCGGCGGACACAACATCTTCCTTTGTATATGGTGCTGAGGATCGAACCCGGGCCGCACGCTCGCCAGGCGAGCGCGCTACCGCTTGAGCCACATCCCCAGCCCCAGTTTTTTTCTTTTGAGCACCACATTGATCTGCACATTCAAGAATCTCTGAACTGAAGTAGGACAATGTGGGAAAATGAATGGGAAGACTTGAACCCTCCAGGGCTGTGAACTAGTCCTCATGGCTACTCCAGAATGTCAGGAGAGCACCTGCAGGTTCTTCTTGGCGACTCCAGGCAGGCCCACTGTGGCTCAGGCTGAGCAGGGTTGTGTTCCCACCCTACTGGACTAGCTGGAATTTGTAGTCAGATGCAGCAAAAGCCAACTCTGGGGCTTGGGTTATGGCTCAGTGTTAGAGCTCTTGCCTAGCATGTGTGAGGCACTGGGTTCAATCCTCAGCACCACAAATAAATAAATTTAAAAAATAAATAAATATATATATATATATATATATTTTTTTTTTTTAAAGCTAATTCTGCTGACAAGAAATCTACTGAGAGGATATGGGGTAGCAGGGTCGTTGTTGGGAGGCCTGGAGCCCTCACATTTCCTTTCTGTTTTACACACTATGGTGACATTGGGCCCAGCTGGATATTCCAGCATCCTTCCAGTCTCCAGATCCTTGATTTCATCACATCTCAGTTATCTTCAGCCACAACCACCAGGAGCCCACCCGTGGGTGGACAAATTTACATTTATTGACCCATTGCATCAAGGAAGCACACCGTGAGCGTGTTCTGATCGCCTCTACCTACCTGTTCTRGAGGGAGGGAAACCAGCCCTCAATAGTACCAGACAGCCGGATACCCAACACTGTCCCTGGACAGGTGTGACTGACATAGTTCATTAGTCACACACACTCAGCCCAGTGAAGGACCCTGCAGTTCCCGGTCGGGATCCACTGGGGAGCAGAGGGAACCAGCAGGGCTTGCGGGAAGTGTGGGCTTTGTAAGGACGAAGAGGTTGGGTGCCCATAGTTCCCTCAGGAAGGTATGATTGGTTGGTTTGAATATTTCTGAGGCCTGGCAGGGAGGTGACACCCCCAAGGTAAGGACCAGGAGGGTGCCATGCTCTGGGTGCTGGAGGAGCTAGCCAGGAGGGAGCCTTCCCCACACAATACCTTTATTCACTCAGGCGAGTGCTTTGCTGCTGAGCCACAACTGCAGCCCTGATTTTTTTTTTTAACAATCCTAATTGGCTTCATTTKTAATTTTAAAATCAAGTAACACTTCATTCCGTAAAACAGAATCAGTTTTCCTATGAGCCAAGCACTCATCTAAAATAATTTGATGAGTTAACATCACATTATTTATTTTTCTTACACAAAAAAAAGGACAAGGGAACTTCACTATTTCACCAGTTGAGAACRGCTGTTCTCCCTCCAATCCAGATTTTTCTTGGAGGACCAGATGTGTCAGCTTGGTTTGATTCACTCCATGTTGTTGTTCCCCCACCCTCACCCCGAATACTGTCTCTGTTGAAAAACTGGCTTCACAAAGAAGGTGGCAGCAGGAAAATTTCAGAATCCAAAGCTTAAAAATAAGTCTTGGGCAATGTGGGGTTATTTTCTGTCTCGGGGAGGTGGGGGGGGGGATCATCCAGTGTCTGAGGCCTTGGGACAGAGGCAAAGTCCCCAGCCGCCCATCTAGAAGATGTCACTCTCAGTAGCGTCTGGTGTCCTGACCTGTGCTCACCCAGGATGATGGTGGGTAAGGAGCAGCAGGTCACAGGGGCCCCCTGACCCTCTGGGAGACAGAACTCTCCCTGGGCAGATCCCGGGACTGAGGGTCAGCGGCCAGGGGAGAATCAACGACTGTCCCCACCTGTGGTCCCTGAGGTCCTGGGGCAGGGATGCAGGAGGCAGCCAGTGTCACAAGACGTCCTTATCCCCAGCCAGGCCGGGCGCCTGGCTAAGTGAGGAGAAAAACTGTGTCCCTCCTCAGGGCCTGGCCCCTGCGCCTGGTCTCACTTCTTCCCGGCACCTCCTGGAAGGGGAGGAAGTGACATCCAGGGGAAGGCAGGGAAGTGAGGCCACCATCACATTCAAGTTCAGGGTGCGACAGCTCAGTCTGCCCCCCAACAGGCCCCATACTCCGCTCCTCTTCGTGAACCACATCCCTTCTGAGAGTCACACCCTGCCCTTTATAGGCACAAGGACCCAGAAGTTCCAGAAACATGTCCATGTTTAGGCCCTCGGATCCGGAAGTGTCTAAAGTGTCCATGTTTAGGCCCCCGGATCCAGAAGTTCCTCAGATATCCATGTTTAGGCCCCTGGATCCGGAGGTTCCAAAGGTACACGTCCATGTTTAGGCACCCGGATCCGGAAGTTCCTTGGGCACACATCCATGTTTAGTTCAAAGCATCCGGAAGTGCCTCAGATGCACGTCCATGTTTAGGCTCTAGGACCGGAAGTTCTTCAGGTGTCCATGTTTAGGCAGCAGGATCCGGAAGTTCCTCAGGCATCCATATTTAGGCCCACAGATCCAGAGGTTCCTCAGGTGCACGTCCATGTTTAGGCCCCTGGATCCGGAAGTTCCTTGGTGCACGTCCATGTTTAATCCCCCGGATCCGGAAGTTCCTCAGGCGTCCATGTTTAGGCCCCCGGATCCAGAAATTCCTCAGGTACACGTCCATCTTTGGGCTCTCGGATCCGTAAGTTCCTCAATCCTCCATGTTTAGGACGTAGCATCCGGAAGTTCCTCAGGCACATGTCCATGTTTAGACCCCCAGATCCAGAAGTTCCTCAGGCCCACGTCTATTTTTAAGCCCTAGGATCAGGAAGTTCATGGGTTCACGTCCATGTTTAAGCCACCACCCCCTCCGGAATTCCTCAGGCATCCATGTTAGGCTCTAGGATCCGGAAGTGCCTCAGGTGTCCATGTTTAGGCCCCAGGATCTGGAAGTTCCTCAGGTACATGTCCATGTTTAAGCCCCCTGATCCGGAAGTTCCTCAGTCCTCCATGTTTAGGCCATAGCATCCACCAGCCCTGAATTTTTTTAAAAAATATTATTCTGAAGTTTTAGGTGGACACAATCTCTTTATTTTACATTTATGTGGTGCTGAGGATCGAACCCAGGGCTTCGTGCATGCTAGGTGAGCACTCTACCACTGAGCCCCAGCCCCTTGAATTTTTAGGTCCTATAACACAGTGGGGCTCCTAGAGGTGTTAATAAGAGGGCATATGATGGTCAGTTTTAGGGGACAGCTTGGCTGAAATAAATTAAGGAATAGCTAGAAAAAGACATTATCTCTGAGGATGCTTCCAGAGATTAGTGGGTGAGCCTGAGCCAGGTAGGTGGGGGAGACCTGCCGTTGATGCGGGTGAGCACCATCCAACCTGCCAGGGCCCACAGAGAACAAAAATATAGGAAAAAGACCAAGTATCCATTTGTGTAGCTTAGACACTGGTCACATTCTTCCCTTCCTGACCTTGGACACAAGCATATCCTGGAGCCCAAAGGCAGGAGAGAGGACTTACTCCTGTGTGACACCCCCACCTCGGGCCTTTGGCCTCGTACTGAGAGTTACACCATTGGTTTCCCTGGTTCTGAGGCCTTGGGACCTCGCCTGAGCCATGCTCACCACATCCCAGGGTCTCTAGTGCGTCTGTGCCCTGCAGTGGGGCTTCCCAACCTCCTTAATGACAATTCCCCTGACACGTCCCTTCTCACGTGTCTGTGAGAGCGTATGATGTTGGTTCTGTCTCTGGAGAACACTGACTAATCTAGCTGTTAGATCAGGTCCATGGTAGGTGGTTTGGGGAGTGTTTGAGGAAGTCAAACTCTGCTTTCCAGAGTTCCTTCAGGGAAGCCAGCAAGGTTGGTCCTTAGCCAGTGGGAATCCTGAGCAGGCCATCTGGCATGCTGTGCACCAGGAATGTGAGGTTCAGGGGGGCACTGAATGGAGGAACTTCCCTGCAGGCTTCACTAGAAGATGGAGACAAGCAGACTGCTGTTGGGACCCAGAACTGACCCAGCAGAGCCCACAAAGGGTAACAGGACCCCACAAAGCCTCCTCACCCTGCAGCCACTGGCTCCTAGCCATGCCTTCAGACTCAGAGCAGGACTGAGACCCTGATTAGAACTGGGGTCTTACTGAGCCCCAGCTCATGTGGGGAGCAGAGCAGGGTTCAGCAAGGGCGATATCATCCAGGAAGACAGGGACATGCAGGACAGACCAAATGACGCCCACTCACCTCCCTGCTCTCCCCTTCCAGAAACTGGAGCAGCTAGGTGTGCGTTTGGCCCTGCCAAGGAACCAGCTTAGTTCTTCAGACTCTTCTCTCTATGTCCTCTTTTCTTAAAACCTAGGTCTTCCTGACTCCAAGAAATCTGTCTTCTGATTCTAGAGACTTCTGAGATGCATGCTCCCTCACTTCCCAGCATACCTCTTGGAAAGGGTCATCAGCCTTACACAAGCAGAGGGCTGGAATGAAGGGCTGCCTGTTCACTATTCAGGTAGTCATTAAATATTAATGGAGTTCCTATTTGGGCGTGGCTCACCCAGGAGCACCACCTGCTCCTGGCTCTCGGAAGCATGCCCACTTGACCATGTTCTCTGGTGTCCTAGCAACCAGAAAATCAGATCTGATCTCTGGCCAGGACAGAGGCCATTCTTCCCTGACCACTGTGACTCTCTGCCTTCCTAGCCTCTGAAGACCTGCTTGTGCAGCTCTTTGACCACAGGAAGCTACCGCTTTTCCCCAAGGATTCCAAGAAGCCTAGCCGCACCAACCCAGCCCAGCAAGATGAGCTTCTCACTCACATTCATGGAACTGACCAACATTGCCATACCACAGTGTGGGGTGGTGAATTTCAGGGCCCTGCACCTCCTGATCGAGGGCATTCTGGAGCACATTCAAATGGCTGAGCTCAAGAAGGAACTCTCGGGGGATGAGGACTTCCTCCAGACCTCGCAGGTCGTGCTTGTGCCTGGGGAAGGAGATTCCCAGCCTGTAATCAACCCTATGAAGCGACTCAGCAACGTCTTTGACGGTGTGGTGACCCGCCTCGACAGGATCGAGAATCAACTGGCTGGGTTGCAGGACCTGCCCTCCACTGCCCAGCTGCTGGAGGGCAGCCAGGGGACCAAACGGCCTGCCGAGGACCTGTGGCATCTCATCAAGCTCCGAAAGATGGTGGAGGGCAATGAAGAAGCCATGGCCAAGGTAAAAGCCCAGCTGTAGAAGCCTCTCAGCCCCTGAGTGCTCCTCCCAAGCATGCCGCTCCCTGTTCCTCCATGGTGGGCATCCCTTTACAGAGGGAGGGTAGAGCCAGACCTTGGAGTCTGGCAGAATCAAAACTCCCGAGATTGCATCCTTGTCAAGTACTGAGGAAAGGAGCCGGACACAAACAGACACATGCTGTATTGTTCCATTTATACAGAATACCCAGAATAGGCCAGTTTCCGGGGCTGGTGGGGTGGGCGTGGCTGCTTTGTGGGTGGAGGGTCTCGTAACTTCGTGAGGCAATTACCCAGTGCCAGATGGACTAAATGCTGTGCCTCTGAGAGGTCCTTAAGTGTTGTAGTAACTTCAGGAGGCAGGGAGTCTAGTTTTCAGGTGAGAAGACAGTGGCACCGAGTGGTTTTGTAACCTACTTGAGGTCAGTGTTACAAAAACGGAGAAGCCGGTGGAAACCTGGGCCGTGTGGGTTGGTGAGCAGCAGGCACACAGCCTCTCGCCAGCCGGAAAGGGTGGGGTTGGTCATAGTCAGCAATAGTCGATAATGGTTTCCTCCCAGGTTGTAGCAAGAATTCACACTGGATGAGAGTGCCCAGGAAGTGCTGAGCACGGAGCTCAACACATTTTAGGTGCCCAGTCCGTTTATTGAGATTTGACTTGAGCAGGGAAAGAGGTGGACTGAAGTCCCTGCGAGTCAGCCAGCCCAGGGCCCTGCAGGATATGAGGACCTGAGCTCTGGGTTTGTGGGAGGGAGGAGGAGTCAGTCTGGCCAAGCCTGGGCCCTGTCAGGCAAGAGGGGCAGAGCGGTGCAGGGAGGAGCCACAAGCCATGTGCTGAATGGAGGGAGGGAGCCAGCACAGAGGCCCCGAGCGAGCCTCCCTCGTGATTCCAATTACATGAAATGGCCAGGAGGGGCACATCCGCAGGCAGAAATGGGATGAACGCTGTTGGAAAGGAGAGAGGGAGTGGTTTGCTAATGGAGACAGGATTTTCTTTCAGGGGAACAAAATGTCTTGGAAGTAAGGAGCGGTGACAGTCATACTTCTGTCTGTATCAAGTGCCCCGGGATCACACTCTTTAATATTGTTATGTGTTTTTTACCACGTGAAAAGCAGGTTGGCAGAATTCATTTAAAAAACCCCATGACCTAACTAAATGCTGTCTATAAGAGATGAGCTCTCAATTTGGAGACACCAGAGGTTGAAGTTTTATGGAAGCAGATATCCCACACCAACAGGAATGGAGCAGAGCTGGTAAGGCTGAGCCACAGCAGGCACTTGGGCTTAGACACCAGTGCTAGCCAGGAGCAGTACACACGCGTGGAGTCCCAGCACTCCGAAGGCCGATGCAGGGCTGGTGGGGTGAGCCAATAAGTTCAAGACGAGCCTGGGCAAAGTAGTGACTTCTAGAGCTCTTGAATGTCCTGAGCACTGAACAGGGTCACCTGCTCAGCTCATGAAAGGGCTCGTGAACAGGTTTGGACTTGACCATGCAGCCTTTAGAGGCCTGTTTGTACAGATAAGGAATGTCCCTGCTGTTGGAAAGTCATTGCAATGGCTTACCACAGCGACCCATTGAAGGGGGTTGCCATGGTAGCTGGTTCTAGAGCAAGCTGCTTAGCTAAGTGTCTGTACCCATCAGCCACTGAGGCTGGTAAACCAAACGCTTGATGCCATGGGCCACCTGGACTGCACCTTGGCAGCCCCTTGCTCTGGGCTGATTGTGCCAGTGTCCTCTGCTGCCCTTACTGGGCACCCCCAAGAGGCACAGGCCAAAAATGGAGAATCAGAGCCTGCTGGTCTCAGCACCCACCCCAAACAGAGCACATAGTGCTTGGGAACCAAGGGCAGACACCAGGAGCGGGGAAGGCCTCTTGGCAGCAAGCGGACTGGGATCCATAGGCATGGTCCAGGAACTGGCTCTGTTGGTCAACACACCACCAGGTTTGAGTACTTGTGCCCCACTGCAAGTTGTTATTAAGGGTTAGATTGCAAGGCTTCTCAGCACTATTGACATTTGGGCTGAGTAATTCCTATGGCTTGTGTTCTGTGTATTGTAGAAGGTCAGGCAGCACCCCTGGCCTCTGCCCAGTGACACCAGCAGCACCCCGTGTTGTGACAAGCCAAAGTCTGTCCTCCAGACATTGCCAGATGCTACTGCCCCATTTGAGACTTCTGGATTAGAAAGCCTGGGCTCCCCAGCCTGGCAGAGTGGTGGTGTCTATAACCCAGTAACTCAGGAGCCTGAGGTAGGAGAACTGTGAGTTCAAGCCAGCCTGGGCTACTTAGTGAGACCCTGTCTCAAAGGAAAGAATAACAAGGGTTGGGTATATGACTCAGTGGTGGAGCACCCTGGGTTCAACCAAAAAAAAAAAAAAAAGCGCCCCCCCCAAAAAAAAAAATCAAAAACAATACTGGAGGCTCCCAGCTCAGCCTGGTTGTCCTAACCTCCAGCTGGTTGCAGGGGAAACCCAGCTTGCCCCTTGGTGGCTGTGCACTAGCTCCCCCTAGTGAGCCTTTCCAGAACTGCAGGTTCCCAGGTTCCTCCCTGACTGGGTTTCTACATGTGGTAGACAAGCAGCCTGAGCGGCACCCCCCCACCCCCCTACCCCCACCCCCCACCCCCACCCCCCTACCCCCACCCCCCGCCTGGTTGAGGCCTTGGTTTTCTCATCTGTAATGATAATCCCTGGTGGCCAGCCACAGGGGAAGATGAAGGATGCTGTGAGCTATTATTAAGACTGTTCTGTATAATGCTGCTTTCATAAAGTTGTGGGTCCAACATGTTGTTGCTTGTTTATTTCAGAACTCCTTGTTCTGTTTTCCAACAACCAGAGCACCGGCAGTGTGTCATCCAGATTGAAATGCATTTTCGTTTCAGTTGGTTTTGGGGTATTTTATATTGTTGCCTAAATGTGTTGAAGACATRTTGGGGTTTTAGCCAATCAGAGTCTAATGATAATTGTTTTAGTCATGGCTGTGACCAAAATAACAACATGGAGGAGGAAATGTATATTTTGGTTCACAGTTTCAGAGGTCTAACTCCATGGATGGTCAGCTCCATTACTCTGGGCCCCAGGTGAGGCGGGACATATAGCGGGAGAGCATGGCAGAGGGAAGCTGCTCCCTAATGGCAGCAAGGAAGCAGAGAGAGCGGAAGGAGTCACAGGCCAGTGCACCCTTCCAGGGCAAGGCCCCGGTGACCACTGCCTCCAGCCGCGCTCCACCTGCCTGCAGTTACCACCCAGTCAGTTCATTCACACTAGGACGGACTGGTTAGATTACAGCTCTCATAATTCAATCTCCTCACCTCTGACTATTCCTGCAGAGACACAAGAGCTTTAGGGGGAAACCTCACACCCAAACCATAACAGTGATGAACACTTGAGCAACGGCAAAACCTTCCCAAGGTGCCATGGAGGTGCTGGGCTGCAGCTCAGTGGTMGGACACTTACCTAGCATGTGTGAGGCCCTGGTAATGAAAAGAAAAGTTTCCCCGGGAGGTGACGTTAGCATTCCCATTTTCCACAGCTCTGGATGTGGTTGTCTGAGGTGGTGTTTGCTTTGGACCCCCTTAGTGGGCCCTAGCCTGAGCCAGCATTCTTTTTTTTTTTTTTTGGTGGGGGGGGGTACTAGAGATTGAACCCAGGGGCACTTTACCACTAAGCTAAATCCCCAGCCCCTCTTCCCGTATTTTTTATTGGTGCATTATAGTTTACATAATAGTGGGACTTGTTGTTACATATTGGTACTTGCACACAATATAACAATTTAATTTGGCCAATATTATTCCCCAGTATTTCCCTTTTCCCTCCCATTTCCCCCTGTGTGGTCCCTTTTCTCTACTGATGTCCCTTTGATGTTCACAAGATTCCCCCCCACACACACACACACCCACCCCCACCACCACCACCACCACCTTTCTTTTCCTTTTTCCTCTCTAGCTTCACTACCTTTGACCTTCTGAGTTAGACTTATTTCATTTAATATAATGTTCTCTGGTTCCACCCATTTTCCTGCAAATGACAATTTTATTTTTCTTTATAGCTGAATAAAACTCCATTATGTATATATAACACATTTTTAAATCTATTTATCTACTGACAATTACCAAGTTGGGTTCCATAGACTGGCTATTGTTAATTGTGCTGCTATAAACTTGGGTATGCATGTATCACTGTAGTATGACTTTAATTCTTTAGGATAAAACTGAGGAATGGTATAGCTGAGTCCTATGGTAGTTCCATGCCTAGTCTTTTTTTTTTTTTTTTTTTTTGCAGTGCTGAGGACTGAACCCAGGACTTGGAGCATGTTAGGCAAGTGCCCTGCCATATCCCCGGCCCCCTCCATGCCTAGTCTTTTGAGGAGCTTCCGTATGGATTTCCATAGTGGTTATACTAATTTACAGTCCCACCAACAGCGTAAAAGTGTTCCTTTTCCTCCACATCCTCTCCAGCATTTATCATTATTTGTATTCTTGATGACTGCCATTCTGACTGGTGTGAGATGAAATCTCAGTAATTTGGATTTGCATTTTCCTAATTGCTAACAGTGTTGAACATTTTTTCATATTTTTGTTGGTTGGCCTCTGGTATCTTTTCTTTTGAGAAATGGCTGTTCATTTGCCCATTGGGTGTTTTTTTTTTTTTTTTTAATTGTGAGTGGACTTCATTTTGTTGATTTCTATGCAGTGCTGAGAATGGAACCCAGTGCCTCACACATGCTAGGCAAGTGCTCTACCACTGAGCCACAGCCCCAGCCCCCCACTGGGTTTTTGGTGTTAAAATTTTTGAGTTCTTTATATATTCTGGATATTATTCTTCTTTCAGAAGAGTTCTCTCTGCATTTTTTTTTAACCTGGGATTGAACCCAGGGGTACTTAGCCACTGAATCACATCCTCAGCCTTCTTTATATTTTTATATTTTATTTTGAGACAACTGAGAGACTCACTAAGTTGCTTAGGGACTTGCTAAATGGCTGAGGCTGGCTTTTAATTCTCAGTCCTCCTGCCTCAGCCTCCCAAGTTGCTGGGATTATAGGCATGGGCCACTGTGCCTGGCAAGTTGGGGGGATGGGAACATGTTCGAATAAGCCAAGGTGGCAGTGCCACACCAGGCGCCACGTGGGACATGCCACAGTTCAGCTCCTGGGAAGGACAGGTTTCTCAGCTCCAGTTAAGCCCTAACTGTGCCTGGAGGGCTCTGGTCAGAAAAAAGACCTGACCCTCCCCCCAAGGGTTCTTCTGGTGCCTTGTTCCCTAAAACAGGAGTCCAAGGCATGTCCCCATGCTACAGTCTGGGCTGGGTGTGCATGTCACAGGAGAACAGAGCCACGTGAAGGAAAGAGCCTTTCTCCTTTCATGGGTGACCTTCCCACAGGGCAAGCCATAGGGTTCTGCCATTTCTTCTGGGCCTTGCCCGGCACTTATCTGGGCTGGGTTGAGGGTAATTTCTGCTCAGCATATTTGGCTCCTGGTCACCCCCAGGAAGACAGGAGGATAGAGGAAGCATCAGTAGATCTGTGAAGGTCTCTGTAAAGCAGATAAGGTGTGCGAGTCCAGGAACCACGGAACAGGATGAGGCACCAGGGGCTGGGGTTGTGGCTCAGTGAGAGAGCGCTCACCTAGCACGTGCGAGGCCCCGGGTTCCACCCACGGCACCACATATAAAGGGTATCGTGTCCAACTGCAACTGAAAAATAAATATTAAAAAGAGAAAAGAAGAAGGCACCCAAAGAAGTGTATTGGGGGGCGCTCCCAGGGCGAGGCTCACCGGTCTGCCAAAGGGTGAGGGCCAGGGAAGTGCGGGCCAGCGCAGTGCTTCTAAGGGCAGCTGGAGGTAGGAGGGCCTAGGCCATCTGGATTGTCACCACCGACAGCAGGCTGAGACGAGTTTAGGGGCATCTGTCGTTGGTTGGTCCAGGCTGAGGTGAATTGACAGGGCGATTGCTTCCGCCGGCAGGAACCTGGTCGGTGGAGTCTGCTGCCAGGTCAGCTTCTGATTGGCCATTTCCGGGCTGCCCACAGCTACCATGGGAGAGGAGCGGGCAAGGAAGGCTGCTGACCCACAGTCTCCACATTGGAGGTCTCTCTGAGAAACATTTTACACCTTAAGCAAATGAGAATTTGTAAAACCCATCCCATAATTCCACTGTCACTCCCAACAAAATTAGCAGTGACTCCTGACTCTACGTCCGTAGACAGTGTTGAGATTTCCTCCCGTCGTTTCTGAAACACAAATGCAGCTTTTACAGCTTTATTGAGGGTATTTCATTTTACCAGAAAATTCATGCATTTTTAAGGGTATTGACAGAGCCGTGCCGCTGTCACCACAGTCTAACTTTAGGACATTTTTCAATACCCAGAAAGAAACCCCTCAATCCATAGCAGTGATGCCTCTCGTGCCTGCTTGAGTTCCCAGTCCTTCACTGTACCTTATTGTTTTCCAGGTTCACCCATCAGCACATTATTATTTCTTTTTATCAAATGATATTCTGCTGTATGAGTAATGCCACATTTAGCTGACTGACTAATGGACGTTGGGGTTCATTAGTTCACTACACATAGCCCTGCTATGAACAGTAGTGACCTGGGCTGACCACGAACACCTGGTCTTAAGCAGTCCTCCTGGCTTCGCCTCCCAGATACCTGGGACCACAGCCACAGGCCATGGTGACAGCTACTTTGTCTTGGTGCCATGTGTTTAACAGATGATTCTTTTCTCCCTACTGGATCAATCTTGATGCCTTTGTTGGAAATCGGTTGACTGTAGCTGGGTGGGTTTATTTCTGGGCTTCTCAGTTTCACTCCATTGATCTACTTGTCTGTCCTTGTGCCCGTACCACACTGTCTTTCTCTTCCCCTTTCTTTTTTCCTTCTCCTTCATAGCAGACATGAACCTGGGGCGTTGAGCCCTCGAGGCAAGTGCTCTGCTGCTGAGCCCTGAGCTCTAACTCCAGGTCTTTTGTAAATGTCCCTTATCYAGTGGAGGAAGTGTCCTGATTTACTGAGTATTGTTTTGTTGTTGTTGTTCTGTTTTCTTTGGAGATAGAACCCAGGGGCACTTCATCACTGAGCTACATCCCAGCCCTTTTGTTTTTTGATACAGGGTCTTGCTAAGTTGCCAGAGCTGGCCTCCAACTTGCAATCCTTCTGCATCAGCCTCCTGAGTTGCTAGAATTACAGGCATGCATCACCACGCCCAGTTTACTGAATTTTTTTTTTCATGTAAGAGTGTATTTTATCAAATGCTTTTTCTGTGTCAATTGAGATGATTGTATACTTTTAAAATTGAAGGCTGAGACAGGAGGATTGTGGGTTCAAAGCCAGCCTCAGCAACAGCGAGGCACTAAGCAACTCAGTGAGACCATGTCTCTAAATACAATACAAAATAGGGCTGGGGATGTGGCTCAGTGGTCTATTGTCCCTGAGTTCAAACCCTGGTACCAAAATAAATAAATAAATAAAGTTGATAACATATTTCTTATTGATGTGATATATTACATTAATTCATTTTTGGATGTTGAATTAATTAAATCTCTGGGGTTAATCCACCCCATGGCCATGGTATAGAATTCTTTTTATATGTTGCCAGATCCAGTTTGCTAGTGTTTTCTTGAGAACTCTGTGTTTATATTTCAGTTTTCTTTTCTTCTTTTGTCTTTGCATTTGGTATCAGTATAATGCTGGCTTCATTGAATCAGTTTGGAAGTGTTCCTTCCTCTTCTGTTTTTTTGTAAGAGTTTGTGAAGGGTTGGCATTAATTCTTTAAGTGTTTTTAAAAATATTTTTTCTTTTTTTTTGGAGTTGGACACAATACCTTTATTTATTTATTTATTTTTATGTGGTGCGGAGGACCCAGGGCCTCGCACATGCTAGGCGCGCGTGCTCTACCACCGAGCCACAACCCCAGCCCCCTCTTTAAGTGTTTTGTGGGAGTCAGTGGTAAGGCCATCTGGGTCTGGACTTTGATGGGTATTTACTTTTTAATACTGCTTCAGTCTCATCATTTGTTACAGGTCCATTCACATTTTCAATTTCTTTCTTATTTTGGTAGTTTGTGTCTTCCTAGGAACTTGTCCGTTTTTATTTCAGTAGAGTCAATAGAAAGGTCTCCTCTTTAACTTATGATTCTAGTAATTTGAGTCTGTCTTTTTCTTGGTCCATCGAGCTCAACGGTTTGTCAGTTTTGTGTTTGCTTAGGTTTAGTTTGCCTTCTTTCTTCCAGTGTCTTCCAGTGGAAAGTGAGGCTGATGATGGGAAGTCTTCCTCTGCGGTGTGGCCACTGACCACTGTGCGTTTCTCTCTACGCACCGCTTTAGCTTCAGCCTGTGAGCTTTGGTGTGCCGTGCTCTGTTTTCAGTTTGTCTCAGAGTATTTCCTAATTTCGTCTGTGGCTTCTTGGACCCATTCGTGATTTAGGAGAGTTAATTCTCACACACCTGTGAATTTCCAAGTTTCTTCTGTTGACTTCTAGTTGAATTCCACTATGGTCAGCACATACACGGGTTCTAAAACGTTCCTGCCGTGCGATCTACCCGGCAGAGTGCTCTCCGTTGTGTGTGTTCTGCCATTGTCAGGGTGTTCTGTGGACACTGTTGGTGCCCGCATGGTTTAGTGTTGTTCAGGTTTTCTGTTTCCTTGTTGATCTTCGGTCTAGTTCTATTCTACAATAGAAATATGGTATTGTAGCTGCCAACTATGCTTTTTAAAATTGCCTATTTCTCTTTCAGCCTTTTTTTCCTCCTCCTCCTCCTGTTTTGGTGGTACTGGGGATTTAACACAGGGCAAATCTACCACTGAGATGCATCCCCAGCTATTATTTTCTTTTATTTTGAGATAGGGTCTCACTAAGTTGCTGAGGCTGGCTTTGAACTCGTGATCCTCCTGCCTCAGCCTCCTGAGCTGCTGGGATTACAGGCATGTGCCACTGCACCCAGCTAGGACTACGGGTTTTTTTTTTTTTTTAATCCATTCTTCCAGTCTCTACCTTTTAACTGAACATTTAAAACATTGATACTTAATGTAATTATCCATCAGGAATGGCTTCTGTCATTGTACCATTTGTTAACTGAATGCCTAGGTAAGCACAAAGCTCTTTGTACAACTTATCACTTTTTCTCCCATATCCTAACGCTTGAGAAATCTGAAACCTACAAAGAGGTGGTGACAGCCCCAGTCAACTGTGCAGCGAGCTTTGAGCCTTACCTTGCAACCATGGAAGTCTCATTGCTGGTCCTCTGGTGTCCCATTTACCCTCCAGAGCCCATCTCCACAGGCAGCCAGAGAGATCTTTTTAAAATGTAAATACAGGCCAGGTGTGGTTGCGATGTCCTGTGATCCCAGCAATTTGGGAGTCTGAGGCAGGAGTTTCTCAAGTTCAAAGCCAGCCTCAGCAATTTAGCAAGACCCTAAGCAGCTTGGTGAGACCCTGTCTCAAAATTAAAAGTCTAAAGTGCTGGGGATGTGCCTCTGTGGTATAATGCCCCTGGGTTCAATCCTAACTTCTAAAGAAAATAAATAAATAAATCATCATGGTCATTTCCCCCCTGACTCTGATCCTCCAGGTGCTATCCCCCAGGGACCAGCCTGCTTCCTCCTTCTGTAGCTAGCCTGCTGACACATACCAAACAGGGAAGGGCAGCAGATGTTTTGGGTAATGCGGAGACACCTCTTTCCTGCCCAGTCTGCCTGGGCTTGCAGCCCTGTTGTCTTGGGGAGCACTTGCTGGTCTCTGGGTACTTTCAGCCTAGATGACCCCCAGGACTATGCCGTCACCAGAAAGCTCTGTAGTTCGTTTGCCTTCTGCTATAACCACACCCAACTTCAGGGTTTCCCCCTCTTCTCTCCCTCTTCAGTCCATGGTGACCCTGCAGGATCTGCTCACTGACCTGAACCCACTCAAGGTCACCGTTGAAACCCTCAGGAAGGACGTGAACATGATGAAGGATTGTTTTGAAAAGGTAATTCCTCCCCTGCATCCTCCACACTGGCCGTGCTGGTGGACATCTGGTGGTCCAGGCCTAGAAAGCCTGTTCCTGGTCAAAGAATGCAGCCAAGAGGGGAGAAGAAGGGAACCCGCCTGGCCCAGCCCTTGGCCTCCCTCCCAAGCTCCCTGTGACCCCTTAGTGCCCCTTACTCCACTGTGTTAGGATGTCCGTTGTCAGACACCCAGTTCACCCCGACTTGGGAAAAAGAATAGAATTCATTCTCATCTACTAAAAAGTCCAGGGGCACCTCCAGCCACAGCCAGATGGAGGCCCTCAGCCCCCTCAGCGTCTGCCTCTCGGTGATGACTTCCTCTGTGTTGGCTTCATGTTCAGGCAGCTACTCCCCGACTCTTAGAAACTCCAGGCTTATAGTCCCTCAACTCGGCAGAAAGAGAACACCTTTTCCTCCTGTTGAAAGCTCTGTTCACGCTGAAAAGCAGGATAAAGCTAGTGCAGGCACACATACTGGCTTCTTCTGCATCTCTGAGCCATTTGTCCAAGTCTGTTCTAGACTCTACCATGACATGGAAAGACATGGAATCCCTAAATCCCGAGACAGCTTCCCCTAGTCCACAGTGGGGTCAGCAGCTGGGTCTGCAAACCTCCAGACCAGCACTGTGGCCAAGGTTAGACCACCTGCTCCAAATTACATGACTAATGTGTTGCCTCTGTTTCATAGGTCACTGGGTGCACTTGAACTTCCATCTTAGACTGGGTAGATTCTATTTGAGTAGATGGGCAGTGTCAGGAAGCAATGCTATGAAACACTAAAGAGGATCATCTGCTTGAGGAACGATGTCTTCCTGGCCCACTTCTTGAAGATTCTTTTTTTTTTTTTTTTCCGTATTGAGGATTGAACCCAGGAACACTGAACCACTGAGCCACATCCCCAGCCCATTTTTTTTTAATATTTATTTTTTAGGTGTAGGTGGACACAACACAATGCCTTTTATTTTTTTTATATGGTGCTGAGGATTGAACCCAGGTCCCGCCCATGTTAGGCGAGCGCTCTACCGCTGAGCCACAGTCCCAGCCACCCCCCAGCCCATTTTTTGATTTTTCATTTTGAGACAGGGCCTCATTTATGGCCTTGCTAAGTTGCTGAAGCTGGCTTTGAACTCACCATTCTCCAGCCTCAGCCTCCTGAGCTGCTGGGACATAGGTGTGCACCACTATGCCCTGCCTCTGGGAGATTCTTAATGTGCTTTTGCCCATTCAAGGCTCTGATAAGTTCTGTGGTACAGAAGTCTGTTGAATGCTTTTTAGCCCATTGTTTCCTAGACTTATTTGTCTATAGACTCTTTGGCATCCCTTTTCCTTCCCTGGGAAACCCTTCACCCTTCTCAAGCTCTTGGTCATCTAGCACTGTGGGAAGCAACAGGACTGGGATCAGAACCTGTCTTCCAGACCACAGACTCAGCTCATTTGACAGATATGCCCAGAAAAAGTGGACCTCTTATCTGAGGACTTGAAAACGCAGAACCGGAAGATGAGCATACTGCAGCAAGAAGTGGTGAGGGCTGGGGGCAGGGCAGGGTGGGGAGGTTTCTCTGCAAATGAAGAGGGCACTGTGGTTGGCGAGCCATTGGAGGGCGGTCTGGTTCTGTGTGGGTAGTGAGACCCCCCGAGGGCCATGCACCCCCAGCCCACGCCTGCACTGCCCACCCTACTCCACAGGATTCTCTCAAGAACAGGATTCACGCTCTCCCCAAAGCTGAGGATCTGGTGCTCTGGAGTGGCCTCCATGAGGCCATGTTCACTCCAGTGAGTAGAGGAACAGGAGGGGCAGTGGGGGAGGGGAGGGGGGCGTGGGCCCACCTCTTCAGCCCCCTCTTTCACAGGAAGCCACTTCACAAGAGCTGGAGATGTCCAAACAGTGGCAGACCACAGACCAGCCTCCACAGGCTGCCCTGGCCCAGGAGGAGCCCGGGTTGCCTTCCCATGTCTCATGGCCCGTCCAAGGCCTCGGCCTCCAGCAGACTGCCTGGCCGACTGGCTGGCCGCCTGCCCAGGCAGATCTACTCAGCAGTGTCCAGGCGCCAGGTCAACCTCAGGCTCTCATGCCTGGTCCTGGGCTTTGGCCTTGGCCTGGGCCTGGACCTGGGTCTTGGCCTTGGCCTGGGCCTGGGCCTGGTCCTGGGCCTTGGCCTTGGCCTGGGCCTGGTCCTGGTCCTGGGCCTTGGCCTTGGCTTGGGCCTGGGTCTATTCCTGCTCTTGCTCCTGCTCCTGCTCCTGGGCCTGGGCCTGGGCCTGGGCCTATTCCTGCTCTTGCTCCTGCTCCTGGGCCTGGGCCTGCTCCTGTTTCTAGGCCTGGGCTGGTTCCTACTCCTACTCCTGGGCCTGGGCCTGCTCCTGTTCCTAGGCCTGGGCTGGTTCCTGCTCCTGCTCCTGCTCCTGGGCCTGGGCCTGCTGCTGTTCCTAGGCCTGGGCTGGTTTCTGCTCCTGCTCCTGCTCCTGGGCCTGCTCCTGTTCCTAGGCCTGGGCTGGTTCCTGCTCCTGCTCCTGGGCCTGGGCCTGCT